GTCAACTCTGAACGCGATGTCATCTCTGTGCCATGGATATAAGTAGCTATGCACGTACGTACGTACGTTCGTTAGATCTGCATGTAATACATGCGAGAAGTTCAGAGAGAATATATACATTCCGTATATGTAATTTGTTCTATATTCAAGGGGGCACTTTGGCGTACATACGTCGGAATATATGTCTTCATGGACGCGAGGGTGTATAAGAATGTAACCACCGTGCGACTGAATGCAACAAGAGGCGCGCAATGTCTTCCTCCATCGATGCCCGTTCTCTCTAAGTACGTGCAGAACACGTTGGCATTCGAATGACTATTTACACGTCTCGTTGTTCCAACGAACGGAACAGAACGCGCAAGCGTTTCGCTTTATCGAAATCACGCAAACTCGCAAACGATTCGTACGCGTTTAGGAGATGAAAATCCTTAAACACGAGCGAAACTCCTCGCGCTAGACCCGGAAACGGAACGCAGCTTTCATTCGTTTGAAGAGCAAATCGCAGGCAAAAGTGGAAATAAGTTTTCCCTTTCTTCATCGACGAGTTTGTATTTGACAGAAACGCAGTTCAAATGTCGTGACCGTTTCGTTATCGTTGTGCAGCAGGCTGAATGCCAGATTAAACAGCTATTAACCTCTTAGCTGTAGTGCCGCTTTTAAAAGTGCGTATCTACATTGTGCCGCTAGAACAACGCGATGACGATTATACTCGTCAAACGCAGAGTATGCGCAGCTGTTGTGAAACTGAATTAAACTATAAGGAAATAACATTAGTTTTTTTCTGAAAAATCAATAATTTTAATAGTAAAAAAAAATATATATATATTCTAGTCAAGCCTAGAAATGATGTAAAAAGAACTAGTCAAGATATTCTAAAATGTCTAAAATTTATTAATGTTTTATTTCCCGCGAGAAATTTAATTTCAAGCAACATATTGTATACTCGTCGTTCACAGCTAAGAGGTTAATGATCATTGATACAATAGAGAAGCGTGAATTTGTTCCGTCATCTTTCTCATCTGCTTGTACGGAATAGAAAAATCGGTGTGTTCTGTTTCTTTAATAGGCAACGTTTGCACGTACGTTGTTGCGCGGTGCTGCAAGGAAAACGAAAAGGTAAACGCGGAATCGAGCGTATGTAGGGCTAAGGGTATAGTGGGATAGTAGTGGGACTCCGAGTTTGGTCAGACAAGCAGCGTTAATCCACGTTCACCGGTTAGGTTCTCCCGATGGGCTGCCACGGATGGCGGATTCCCGGAGACTTTCTAACGAAAGTGCAAGTCTTTTCTTCTAACCGGCTACCGTACCGCGCAACCGTCCTCGACGCGACTTTCGCGCGTTTTCCGCGGTTTCCACGCCGAGGACGAAGACGTGCAACGCTTCCGGGCTGTGAGTCACTCTCGTAAGAAATATCTCGTGGATCTCTTAATTAAAAATTAAAAAAAAAAAAAAAAAAAAAAAAGGAGGAAAAGAAAAATATAACGAACGTTCTAATTGGCTCGTGTTCCTTTTCGCGTGACGTATCGTTCGTGGATATCGCTCGGTTGAATAACGTAATTATTGAAAATATATATATATAAAAAAAAAGAAGAAGCACGGCAAAATTCGATATTTAAGAAGTGGCGTATCGACTCGCGTGTGAATCTCGCAGGCAAGAATTTCTAACGTTTTTTTGAATGTAGCGGAGAACCCGCCTGCGGCGTACTGTCAAGGTCTCGGCTCTCGTCGACTTTGCCGTGACATAAATATTCGGGGGCCTTTCGGGGGCCCACGGTTGATTCCTCGTGGCGAGGGACCTGAACTTGCCAGTCGTGCGAAAGAAAGAGAGAGAGAGAGAGAGAGAGAGAG